CCCCCCCTTTGTCAGGGTTTAAGTATAATGTGACTTGAAGCCTCACGCTGCGCTACATACTTTCCATATCAGATCTGCAAATGTTTCCAACGTCAAGGCACCGCCTACCCAACCGTCCGCCAGCACCGGTTATAAATGGCGGCTGGTAGCAAGGGTTTTAAAACAGTATTTAGGCCTTACAAGCAGACTGCCTGATGGAAGGCACCCCATTACTTTCATACCCCCCCCTAAAGAAATGCTCACTCCCCCTCCCCCCACTATTACTGCCCTCGACCATGTATCCTGGGCTCTACTACTGCCCCTCCTGCGAACCACCTGGTATGGGCATGGTGGGTGGAGCAGAGAGGAACCAGGGAATGTCTGTTCAAGGATCTCGTCTCCAGTGAATGACTCTGGAAGTGACGAGGATTTTGTCACTCTCGGGCTCAGAGTAATTCCCTGGCTGCTGTGGCCAAGCAAGTAAGGTCTGCGGTTGATCAGCTTCAGAGGTGACATTAGGAGTCTAATAGGCCCCTGATGCCTCCTTTTTAAAGGGTAATTCCATTTTCCCAGGCGAATTTGGGAGAATGGAATTACACCCACCAGCCTGCTCCCTCTCCCCCCTCCCGCTGCTCTTTCCTCTGAACATACACTGCTTCCTCTATGCGGCTGCTGGTGTTGGATCTGTCCCCCGTACACCGCATTGCAGCCCTGCACAATGTATTTCAAATGACACTTGCAAACGGCGAGCACTCCTTGGTCACTGCGGCCAACCTGACCAATGACAAGCGCTTCTGACCGCTCTGACCAATAACAAATGAGATGACGAGGAAGCATGAAGCCAGCTTCCCGGCCAATCGGAAAGCAGGGCGTCGCGTCGTTACACGGCGCCCGGCTTCCTGATTCGACGGCTCCGGCTGGCTACCGGAGAGAGGCCCCGGGGGTGACAGGCTGCACATACTAAGGTAAAGTAACCTTACCTCACGAGGCCAGCTTCCCGACCAATCAAGAAGCCGGGCAGCGCGTCATTACGCGCTGCCCGGCTTCCTGGTACCGGAAGTACTCGTGCTAGGCATCGGAGCATTTGGGCGAGTACAAGTACTGGCCCAAATACTCGGAATCGGCACCGATATCTCGATACTAGTATCGGTGCATCCCTAGAAGTAATCCCCAAGCCTGAAACGTGTGCAAACAATGAAATATGGTTATTTCCCTTTATACTTCTACTCTGATGAAAGGGGAGCGTGTGACACCCCCCCCGAAACGCGTCTGCGCTTTCAGTATTGATCATTCATTAAAATCTCTCTGGACTGTTTTACACATCCGGATTCTTCTCGTGTGACCTCCTCTCTGCTTCTCTGTCGTAGGAGCGGCCTCGCCAAAGCTAAAATATATTAGACAGTCACTCCCCATTGTGGATATTAATAATAGGAGGTCCGGCGGCCCCTCTTGTGTGTACGTTGTGATTTCATTTTTAAATGTCTCTATTTTCAGAAAAGCTGGAGCAGATCCGGGACACGGAACGTCGGGAGGAGACCTTCACCCCCATGCCAAACCCGCATTACATGGAGCTCACTAAATTGCTGCTGAACCTGTAAGTCAATGGCGAATCCGCCTTCCACTGAATGTAATTATGTAGAATTGTGGACTTGTCTGAATGGAAAGTTAAAGCAGAAGACCGGCCGAGAATAACCACTTACCAGCCGTCTTGTATCCTTACCAGCCGTCTGTATATTAAATGGTCTTGGTTTAGCGCATCTGCTCTTTCTTTTTCTGTGAGCTGCAGCACTACCCATCTACTAAGCAGCCGTGGGGAGCAAGCTGGACTTATGGATTACGGTATGGCCTCGATCACACCAGATGCAGTGCGTTCCATGCCCACTTCGCATTGCGGCCGGCTCTCACTTTTTTTGTGGGGCAGGAGGGGGCGTGGCAGTCCATTGAAGTGAATGGTACCGTAGGCACGCCCTCCGGCCGACCAGGATCACAAGGCACATTATGCCTGCGGTTCGGTCCGAACAAAATGCAAGCGCTATTTTGTTCGGACCGCAGGCATAATGTGCCTTGTGATCCTGGTCGACCGGAGGGCGTGCCTACGGTACCATTCACTTCAATGGACCGCCACGCCCCACAAAAAACTGAGCCGGCCGCAATGCAGTGCGTTGGGGCCGGAACGCACTGCATCTGGTGTGAACAAGGCCTAAAGAGCAATCCCTGATGTTATTATTATTGTTGTCCAGGATTTACATTGTGCCGATCCTCCTTAGTGCTTCGCAATATCAAGTACAGTTGCAGTCAGGGATGCACCGATACCGAGTATTTGCCAAATGTTCCTGAACTTCCGGTACCAGGAAGCCGCGTGTGGAGGCATTACACATGCGCCCGGCTTTCTGATTGGCCAGGAAGCCCGCTCCATGCTCCCTCGTCACATGGAGCTGGCTTCCTGGCCAATGACGAAGCCAGGCTCCGTGTAAAGACTCGCCGCCTGGCTTCCTGATTGGTTGGGAAGCTGGCCAGGCAGCGAGTCATTAACCGCCCCCCAGCTTCCTGATTGGCCAGAAAGCCAGCTGCGTGCTTCCTCTTCACCAGGTGAACACAGGAACAAGGCTGGCTTCCCCTATAATTAAGTATTGATTTGCAGTTGTTCAGAGGAGGGGTGGTGACTGTGCTGTCTGGTACACAGAGAGTTCCTCTGAGCATATGGAACGGCGAGCATGTGTAAAAACTGACGGGCTCAGCCCAAATGACTTCCAGGTACACATCCCATAATAATAATAGCGCAGTGTGAACACCCCGCAGGTTTATTTATTAGGTCGCAATGTTTTGTGTTCGCAGCGCCTCAGACAACATCCCGAAAGCTGACGAGATCAGGACGCTTGTCAAGGACACGTGGGACACGCGAATCGCCAAACTCCGGCTGTCCACGGACAGCTTTGTGCGGGAACAAGAAGCTCACGCTAAGGTACCCACACGTCTAACATGCTCATGCCCGGCAGCTCTGAGGGTTCTGCCACCTCACTGGACTGCATTGTATCCCAATAGGTGTCAGAAGCCAAACTGTATTCATTTTGGATGAGGACTAGTACTGGTGCGGACAACCTCGGCACTCCAGCTGGGGTGGAACTACAAATCAAGACTCTGGGAGTCATGCCTGTGGCTGTCAGCCTTGCAATGCCTCATGGGTAGTTCCATAACAGATGGGGTGCTGAGGTTACCTACCCTGGGCTAGTAAATGGTTGAAACCATTCTCCTTTTTTATTCTGCGTCCCATTCACTTATCTTTTGGCACGCACCAGGAAGTAAAAGAAAATCCTCTTAGTAACCCAAACAGGCGTCCCCATTGGAAGATTTTCCCCTCCACTCCTGTTCCGGTGACAACTCAAAATGAAAACATTGCAACTACCCTCTTATCCTGCAGGGCGGCCTCCGCTTTCGGGAAATATAAAACCTTTTTGGGGGTTTTAAAGGAGAACTATGAGGGGGGGGGGGATGCTTTTCACTCACCTCATAGTTCTAGCCGACCTGTGACAATGAGACTGTCACAGGTCGGCTCAGTAGATCGGGAGGTGAGCGAACACATACCGGCGTTCGCTCACCTCTCGATCCTGTCACAGCTCTCTGCCGTGACAGGGAAGGGGCTGCATTCCCCGCTCCGATCCTCCAGCGCTGACTGGCGGAACGGACGGGGAGGGTACAGCTGGCTCTGCCTCTAGATAGGCAGAGCCAGCTGTCACTCACGCAGCTGGGCGGATCCCGACGTCCAGGTCGGGATCCGCTCCGGCGTCTCGGTATACCGCGAGCTGTAGCTCCCTATATACTGAGCTTAGGGTGACGGGAGGACGCTAGTTTGTGTCCTCCCGTTACCCTAAGGAGAACTATGAGGAAAAACACTGACCCCATAGTTCTCATTTAAGTTATTTTCCTGCCAGAAATGTAGATTTAAACTATGTGCAAAAAATGAAAAAGTTTCTCCCGAGGGGAAGAGGTTGAAGTTTATAGAAGGATCTGTTTTTGTTTGGCTCACCCATAGGTGATAGGACATAACACGTACCCTGGGGTATGTTTGCTTCCTGTGGTCATCCTTTGATGTAACAGGAAGTACGGTGAGGTTATATACAAGAGACAAGTTTTATTGGCTGTTGAAGTGATCACATGAGCAGAAGCAGCACTGATTGGCTTCTGGTCATCGCTGTATCTTCAGTATCATCACACAAATTGCCTGAACGCATGTTAAAGAGTACCTGTATTGTGGGAGCTGTGCCCAGAATAGGCAGGCAGAGGACAAAGGACTAGTCACCAGTATTGGTATAAGTCTCCCTTCCAATGATCTTTTCCCAATATTGACTTTGCCATACCTTGTTCTGCACTGGTTGGAAGCGGCCATCTTGGTAGGGGCAGGGCTTCGTGTATGAGCTGCTCCTCTGATGACTGGTGAGGTGATGAAGCAGGAGAGGTGGAGGGAGCACAGATTTACAGGATGAAGCAGGGGGATCCTTGCACTGCAGGTCCTCGGGTACAGCTTCCTCTCCAGCAAGGAGAACAGTGAGCAGCACACTACTGACATCACCCAATCTCCTGAGACATTCAGATGCAGCAGTGCCTTAGATCGCACACTGCGGATATACAGCTATGGGGGTACGGACATGCACTGCCTAGGCACAGGAAGTTCACTGCTATTAGGAGGAATTTCAGCCAAATGATACAACTAATTGCAGATGTTCCCGATCTCATAACCCTTTACTCTGACTTCCGCTTCACTTTAACATCGGCATTTCCCAACTTTTGTCATTTTGTCTGTTTCAGGATGTTTTTGAGCTAATTTCCAGAATTATTCAAATACAATTTGATGCCATTTTTTTTTTCTTATTTTAGCGTCTCTCAGCACAACTCCTCTGTCTAGCCCCGGTCTGAAGCTGCGTCCAGGCATATAGGTGGTACTTGGGGGTTAGGTAATGATCAGTGAGCCTCGTAGTCTGAGCTGGCCATAGGCTGCACTCTGAGAGCAATGGAAGGGTAGCTCTATGGTTGTCCTATCAGTATAGGAGCTGTACCAGATTTTGGATAGGCTGCTTGTCCACACCGAAGGAGTTTCCACACTTTCCTAGGTATTGTAACCTAATCTGAGATAGAAACGCAGCGCGGAGAGTTCATTGTCCAGATACACACTGCCTGGCCAAAACAAGATGGAGTCAGCAAATTAGGTGCCAGCTTTCCATTGTATATGGGAACATACCCGTTGGTAAAGGGAACAGCTCATGAAAGTGGTTGCTTTAGTTAAAGGAGAACTATGGGGGTGAGTGTTTTTCCCCATAGTTCTCCTTAGGGTAACGGGAGGACACAAACTAGCGTCCTCCCGTCACCCTAGGCTCAGTATATAGGGAGCTACAGCTCGCGGTATACTGAGACGCCAGAGCGGATCCCGACATCGATGTCGAGATCCGCCCAGCTGCGTGAGTGACAGCTGGCTCTGCCTATCTAGAGGAGGAGCCAGCTGTACCCGCCCCCGTCCGTTCCACCAGTCAGCGCTGGGGGAGGGGGCAATCCAGCCCCCTCCTCTGCCGTGACAGGATAGAGAGGTGAGCGAGCGCCGGTATGTGTTCTCTCACCTCCCGGTCTACTGAGCCGACCTGTGACAGTCTCATTGTCACAGGTCAGCTAGAACTATGAGGTGCCCCCCCCTCATAGTTCTCCTTTTAAAGCTGAACTCCAGACTCCAACTTATTGCAGCTCTGTTTTCCTAAATACATCATTACATTTGTTTTAATGCCATTGACATTTAAATTTGACCCATTATTAGTCTCTTGCAGTCTTTGTACAGCAAAGCTCAGACTGGGAGAGGGAAAAGCAACACAAGAAGTCCATTAGTTGTGTGGCATTTGTGCTAATAAGGGGGAGGGGGGGTACTGATAGGAGAAGAGAGCAGAGTAATGAGCTCATCAGTCAGCTGCTTCTCCTTTTCGCGGTCCAGTCGCAGCCTGGGGAAGTGACGGGACCTGTCAGTTACTGAATTGCGGCAGAGAGAGAGATGAGGTCTCCTCGCCAGGACAGGGCTGTACTGTGTAAAGGTCCCCACACGCCTTACAACCATCGCAAGACTTTTGTCTTGCGATGGTTGTAAGGTAATTTAAAAAAAAAAAACGTACGATCTGCCCATCTAAAGGTCCCCACACACCTTACGATAATGGCGGGAAATCCCGCAATCGTACGATTATCGCAAGGCGTGTAAAAGGCGTGCGACCTCTACTACTGTACGGTCGCACGACTTTGAACTTCCGGACATGTTCGAAAAACCGCCAAGCATGGTACGATTGTCGGCGGGTGTGTGGCACGTTCGTAAGATAAATGCCGCAAGCACACACTGCCCGTTCGGCATTGCGGTCATCGGAAGCCCGCCCCTCAGCGGGGCGGGGCTTGCGATTATCGCAAGTACGATCTGCCTGTCCAAGATGGGCAGATCGTACAAAAGTCTTGCGATGGTTGTAAGGTGTGTGCCCAGCGTTAGACAGGCAGATCGTACTTGCGATAATCGCAAGCCCCGCCCCGCTGAGGGGCGGGCTTCCGATGACCGCAATGCCGAACGGGCAGTGTGTGCTTGCGGCATTTATCTTACGAACGTGCCACACACCCGCCGACAATCGTACCATGCTTGGCGGTTTTTCGAACATGTTCCTAAGATAAAAGTCGCGCGACCGTACAGTAGCAGAGCTCACGCCCCTTCCACGCCCCTTCCACGCCCCTTCCACGCCCCTTCCACGCCCCTTCCACGCCCCTTCCACGCCCCTTCCACGCGCCTTCCGATAATCGTACGATTGCAGGATTTCCCGCGATTATCGCAAGGTGTGTGGGCACCTCGGAACTGGATGGCAGGTAATATCCGTTCCCATGTATGTATTGTATATGTTCATTTAGCTGCCTGGAGTTCCGCTCGGCAGTACAATCGCTGCCACATTAGAACAGCGTGAAAAGCCGAGGCCGGGGGAAAAGTGACATGTGCGTGGAAATATGTCGGCGCCGGGCGCCAGTGTCTCTGTGCGCGTTGCGCAGGGCGGAAGCTGTTCTTTTGTTATTATTTCTGGTGTTCCAGCTACAACTGTTGTCCTCTGTTCCCCCGCGTCCAACTTGGCTCGGCAATTTCACGGCCAGCTTGGCCTCCTCTGATCCGCCTGCTATGTACGCTCCCGGCTGTGACGGTTCTCTCTCTCTCTCTCTCTCCCCTTTGCCAGCTGGACAACTTGACGCTGATGGAGATTAACACCATCTCGACTTTTTTCACCGAGTCCCTCAACCACATGTACAAACTACGGACCACCCTGCAGACCCCGGAGGATGGACAGTCCCAGGAATACTGACTCGCCCACCGTGTCGGGGGTCCTTTAATTAGCTGCGTGCTGGCGAGAAGAAAGTTCATCTGTGCCGAACAGACTGCGAGCGCATAAAGGAAGCGGATCGAAGGCGCTGGGACCGCGGAGTCTTGTTCTATATTCACTTTGCATTGTTATCATCCACCAGTAGGATGGGGGCGTTGACTGTGAGAGCGATCTGAATATTGGACTGCCAGCTTCTACTCATCGGAGGATTTCAACGGTCACCCCGGATCACGGTGATGTTGCATAATTCTACATTTGATGCGCCAACCCCGTAATATTCGAGTCTGCCTATAATTATATACCAAAGACAAGTTGATGAAGAAGCCGGCGTGTTTTAGGGGGCTAAGCTCCGCCCCTTTGTCAGGGCTTGATAAGAACAAAGCAACAATGTGTGCATGCCATGTTTTTTTTTCTCCAATCACTGAAGAGTGAGGCGGGGCTTTGATTACAGAAGTCATCACGTTTTGGGGCTACGCCCCACCCCATTCATCAGTGGACAAGCATCAGTGACTGGAGTGGGGCTTTGATTACAGAAGCCAACGCGTTTTGGAGCCTAAGCTCGGCCCCCTTCATCAAGGTTTACGGAAAATAAAAGTAACAACATGCATACACTGTTTGTTTTTTCCTCTGAGGGGGGTGGAGCTTTGATAGAAGGTTGCGGTTTTTCGGGCTAAGCTCCACCCCTCTCGTTTTGAAGAAAACAAAGTAACAAATGTGTGTATACATTGTTTCTTTGTTGTCTTCAAGTCCTGATGAGGAGGTCTTAGCTCTTCCCTGATACAAAGTAGCAATGTGTGCATTCATTGTTTCTTTTCTTCAAGCCCTGATATGGGGGAGGGGTGGGGCTTTGATTACAATAAGCCAATGCATTGTGGGGCTAAGCTCCTCCCCTTCATCATGGCTTGAGGAAACCAAAGTAACAATGTGCTCATTGTTTCTTCAAACGCTGATGAAGGGGGCGGAGCTTACCCCCCAAAAAGGTTGTGTTCTGTAATTAGTCCTTGGAATAAAGCTATATCTGGACTCTAATATTACGGCGTGTCGCTTCTGATGTAGACTCGTACGAGCACCAAGTCCTCCTCCTTCGTCTCATCTGGCCTGCCGGGTTTTTTTTCTCCTGAAGGTTTGGGTATATTTTGCTGTCGCTGCTCCGGCAGAGAACGCTCGCAGTAAATTATTAGCACCGCAGGCCGGCTTAGGAGGAGTTCAGTTTTTTTTTTCCCCCTTGTAAATAGATCTGGATGCCGGCGCGACAACAGCGCTCCATTATTAAGCCCGCGGGGCAATCGGGGAAGTCGAAGGAACTCAATTACTTCGGTGCCCGCGACGCGCGTTTTATTCCGAGAGAGAAGCCTTTGGGGCCCGGATTTATATCTCTACCCAGAGATGTCCTTTTGTACCGGAGCCTGGGAGATCTCGGCAAGTCGTCTTCATCAGAACGTTTCTGCCTCCGGAATTCAAAGGAAAATGAAACTCCCTTTTTTGTATTTTATTTTTTTCACAAAAGTGTAATAAAAAGCCTAATTACGGTTCTGTGTCTGCTGCTTCTTCTGTGAACGCTGGCCTGGTGAAAAGAGAAAGCTTCTCCCCTGCTGGACTGCCGAACATATCCCCCTTATATGGAGATGGGGTGTAGGGGGGGGGGAGAGCTCAGGCAGGGCTGACAACGCTGCTTGGGGTTTCATTGTAGCAGAGGCAGCGTTGTCAGCTCCAAGGGGAAGTAAGAAGCTCCCTGGATTTCCGGCGGTTCAGTGGCTATTTCTCTGTTGCAGAAAAAGACACGGCCTGGGGCAATGCGCATGTAGTGCAGAGATGTTATATGTACCATTATTTATATTATCCATACACGTTTATCCAGTTCTGTTTTTATTAACGAAGCCACACCCCGGCTACTTCCAAAAAGCTTCGAACCAACTTTATCGTTCCAGCGGGAATGAGGACACTCCACCCAGCGCCTGCTCACAGCGGGGGGTGAAATGCATCGGAAAAGAGGTGCTGGGTGGACTGACCTCATTTCTTGCGTTTAGTTCCTTGTACAGCGAGCGCTGACGTCATTACATTTCTACTTCCTGTAGTGGGAGGAGCCGGGGCAGCTCTAACTCCTCATCTAAGGCCTCATTCACACTGTAAGAGCTGTACGTGCCGGGCCGTATCGGCAGCTCCCGGGAAGGACAGGTGCTGCGTGTGATTTAGTACTCTGCCCCCGTCCTTCTCTTTGGGACTACGCGGCCGTACGCTCACCCGCCCTGCACGTGGGTGCGAGTGAGCGTACTCGTTGGGTGACAGGATCCTGTCTGCGTCCGAGCCAGAAAACACGCACCCCTGCGGACCTGCACTTGGGGTGAGCGTAGGGCCACGTACTCCCATAGAGAAGGACGGGGTCCGTACTAATCACAAGCAGCGCCTGTCCTTCCCGGGAGCTGCCCGATACGGCCGTGCACGCAGCATGGAGCTATACGTGCCGTCCGATTGCAGTGTGACTGAGGCCTAACGCTCACACTAACATACTGTCATTTGACAGGTCAGGAGAACCCTGCTTGGCCCCGCCCACCATAACCTCGTAACTTTGACTGACAGGCCAGGTGCCCACATTCTGTCCTGCCCACCATTACTGAGGAACAGCCAAAAAAAAAACGTCCCAAAGGCCCCATATTCACACCCATTATTAGCAAAGAATTCCCATTACATGATGGGAATTGTAGTTTATTTCTGCAGCCGTGCCCAGAGGCAGGAAGTGACGTTGGCGGTGAACTAATACAGTCTCCATGTGCCTGGGCATAGCTGAGGGTACTAGGTCAAGGCATTGAAGTTCAGGTAAAAAGTAACCAGCCCACACAAACCTAAAGAGCAGCAAAGATCCGAGAAGGCTCAGAGAAGAGACGCGCCCCCTTCGTCCCTCTCCTAGCAAAGATGGTCGCCGCCCAGGTTGATAATGCGTTTTGCTCTTCTCCTAAATGTTTATTTGTAAAACAAGATTTTTTTAAAATATATTTAAATGTGATTAAAAAAAAAAAACATTTAAAGGAGAACTATGAGGGGGGAGGGGCTTTTCACTCACCTCATAGTTCTAGCCGACCTGTGACAATGAGACTGTCACAGGTCGGCTCAGTAGATCGGGAGGTGAGGGAACACATACCGGCGTTCGCTCACCTCTCGATCCTGTCACGGCTCTCTGCCGTGACAGGGGGAGGGGCTGGATTCCCCTCTCCCATCCTCCAGTGCTGACTGGCGGAACGGACGGGGGAGGGGGCGGGTACAGCCAGCTCTGCCTCTAGATAGGCGGAGCCAGCTGTCACTCACGCAGCTGGGCGGATCCCGGCACAATTGTCGGGATACGCTTCAGCGTCTGACAATACCGCGAGCTGTAGCTCCCTATATACTGAGCATAGGATAACGGGAGGACGCTATTTTGTGTCCTCCCGTTACCCTAAGGAGAACTATGGGGAAAATCCCTGACCCCATAGTTCTCCTTTAAACAAAATCATATTAAAAGGTGTTTTTTTTACCTTTTCCAGCTGAAGATGAAGTTCATTTTTTTGGGTGGGGGGGGGTTTCTCGTTCCATTTTCACGCTGGCGGAGGAGAGGGAGCGTTGCCTGAGCTGGGAGCGGAGGGAGTAACTCGCTCTCCTATTCATATGTTATCTTCATGAGTTATTCATGAAATTTGGATGCGGATCTCTCTCCGGATGGCGATCACACGCAACTATAATTTCACTTAATAGCCCATTTGTAGCAGCGCGCTGATTGCGGCCGTGCCTCTGCCGCTATTCTGAGCCATGCAAATCAGTTCTGCGCCTTCAGCCGATCTCACCGAGCGGGAGGAGAGTTTGCCTGACTTTCATTCACATAAAAATGACCCCCGCCC